ATTCGAGCCCTGTTAATTTTTAATTTTTGTATGTATGTATTTTATCTTTTACAATTTAGTTGTAAATCGCCTAGAGCACTCTCGGATGGAGGGCAATTAATAAGTAATTAAATGATGATGATGATAATGATGATGATATGGAGAAGAGGATGACTAGTACTCTATTTAAATTTTGACTCAGCTCATGGAGACCTACCTATGCCTATTGTTAACTGCATGATTTGTTTTAAATGTGTTAATTACCTCTGATCATTAATAGAGTCATTAGAGAAATGTGTCCCAATTATTTTACTTTGTATATTTAAATTTCACACTTGTTATTATTTTATAAGTATATCCTATTGCTATTTGATTGTTTATTATTTGAAGTGCTTTATTATGTTAGGTTTCTCAGGCATCAAATTTCTGCAAGTCTTTTGTTGTTTCTTTGTCCTTTTGGGAGATAAGGCACTATAATAATAATAGTAGTAGTAGTAGTAGTAATAGTAGTAGTAATAATAATAATAATAATAATAATAATAATAATAATAATAAAACATTGGCCAATATTCTAAATCACCACACAGAGCTACAGTGATGTATCTACATTTGACAAACCTAGGTTTTGGGCCGATAGTATGCCATTTGATTGAATTTTGAGGTGGCCACTTGGAAATCAAATTGGTAGCACTCTCCTGGTTGCACAATGGTTTGAGAATGAGCAGATCCCTTGAAGTCTGTTTTTTTTAAAATATAATTTTATTGATAAAATATAGAAAATAGGGAGGGGTACAAAAATCGATATAGGTCCTCATCACATGGAGGTCTTTGATGCAGGGGACAGCGGGGGAAGCCATAGAGCAGTAGGATAAATTGTGGGGCACTGGGGCAAATCCATCACCCAGCGCTCCACATCACATGCTTGGCCATTGCATACCAGAAAGCATACATTTCGGGTTTGCTCCCATGCTGTCCCCAGCATTTTCAATCTGAACACTGGTAGTCTCCTGTGTTTGGATTTCCCTGTCAGAAAATACTTTTCCAATGAAGTCAGCATGGAGCCCCACTGGAAGTAACTGTTCAGCATATGATGAGATCCAGAGGGCTCCATGCTGGCTGCATTAGCGAAGTGTTCTAGGATGAATAAATTTCCAAATATGATGAGTTTGTAAGGTAGGGACTTTTAAAAGACATCTTATATTATCATCTTCTCCCATCATCATGTAATACAAAGAAGGGGTTTAGAATGTTAAAAAGAAGGAAAGAAAAAAGGAAAAAATCATTTCTTATTTAGACTCAAGCAAAAGAATAAAAAATGAGTAGAGAATATAGAGAAACATAGAAGATAGGAAAGTTATGGCATAGATAAAATAAAGCCCTATCTTATACTTCCTGTCTTAATACTGCTGTCTTCTTCATAATCATTATTGTCTTGTGTCTTCTTACTTCTGGTAGATTAACTTTCAGGATCCTTTGAATAACACTGGCACAGATCTGTTGAAGTCTAGTCACAACTGCTTGTCTTACTTAGCTCTTTGACTGGGAGAACAGTGGTCACATCAAGGCGACAATCTGCAGTACCTCAGAAACCCTTCAGGTGAGGTACTGCCAATCTGAAATGGTAGGTTTCTGGCAAAACTTTCAATAATTAATTACCATAAATGTGACATATATGTGAAGCCCAGGAGACTTATGAGACTTTAAATTCAGTTTACAACCTCGTAATTCCTGAACATGATGCTAGTCATGCATGTAATTTTTCTAAAATGAATGTAAAATTAATGTTCTAGAAGATGATCTTGTTTCTCCCATTAATGATAATTCTCATACATTAATACCAACATCCATGATATCCTTCTGAAACAGTTGTCTGAGCTGGGAATGGGTGAGATAATTTTTTAGTTATCATTTTGCACTCATACATAGATGTCCACTTCCAGAAGATGATGCTAGGCTGGTTCCCAATTTACTCTCCAGCATCTTTGCTTTGAGCCTTGCAGTTTTGTATTTTATCTTATGTGATGTTTTAACACCAACATTAAAGGCATTGGCAAGAACATTTTGATGTTTAAAGCAGCTCTTTTTCCCTTCTGTTCAGAACCAGGTGATGCTATGAGTGTCTTAAACTGTGATCAGTAATAGACTGCATAAAAGCCAACACCCTTCTCATGCTTTTGTTCAGCTGAGCACAGAGAGGAAATTCAGAAGAGTCCTTTATCTAAATTAATAGCGTTCTGTCTGTTTTAGAAAGGATTGCACTCTCTGATGACCAGGTTCATAATTTGAAGATTTTACTGGATCCACTGGTGCAGGTTTACTTTTCACGGATACAATATCTCAGCTTCTACCCTACCAGGAGATGGATGCTAGGCCTTAATTATCCGTGCTCTTGCTGTAACCTTACTTTTAATGCTGCCTTTGAAGACAGTCCAGAAATGGCAATAATTGTGGTAGATGTGTTTGAATGGTTTGTTAGAATGGCCTGGTCTAAGTTTAAGTTTTCTGTATGGGGTCTGGGAAAGTTACTTGTGGCTTTGGAAATCTCTTATCAGTCTGCATGATTACTTTGAGGAACTCAAGGAAGATGTGTGAACAGAACAGCAAGAATATCTGGGATGAAATATGTCACCAAAGAAATCTGAGCATATTATGTTGCCCTGTGTCATATGGACTCCTTTCAATTTGCTATACAGCCCAATTCAACACACTGATTTCAATGTATAACTTAGGTAAAGGTGGCTGTGAAGAAATGTGGAGTTTGTTTCCAAAAGGTACCAAATCTATCTGATAGGACTGTGCAAAAATCCGGATATAGGTCATAAGTTGTAAGTGATTTGGTAAATCTGTACTTACAACCGGCATTATGATGCCAATGTGTGCCCCCCTCCCCACAAAAAAACAAATGAAAACAGCCATCTACAGAAATTTTGTAAAAATTTCATTATTTTTCTTAGTTCTTTAGTGGGCGGTGCAGGCAGACTTGATATGCCACATGCTCTCCTTAGCCTATCAGTGCTGAGGGAGTGAGGAAGGGAGGAGGTACTCCTGATGTTTCCTTTAAATCCAGTAGTGATATTGCCTTCGATGCCATTGCAAGTAAGCTGGGACAGAGTTGGAGATCTAGGGTAGAGAGTGAGCGGCTAAGTAGCAAGCAACTAGCTAGGAACTGAATTTGTGTTTTCTTGAAGGCTTTTGCATGTGCCATACAAGCTTAGTTGGCCTCCACTTAGGATTCCTTTTAGGATCACCACAGCCAGATTTAGGATAAGTGCCCAGAGGGGTGCTGCTGTTGAATATCAATATAACAAACAAAAATTCAGGGGCCAAGTGAGCAGAAGAATTCTAGTGCAGTACCATTGACACATTAAGCCAACCTGTTCCATTCCTTCTCCATATTGTGGGGCCAAGCATTTTGTAGTACTACCAAGTACCTTTAAATGCTTTCCTTTCTATTGGTTTTCAAAGAATAATTCAATTCTGCAAAATGCAGTGTGCGTGTACACACACTTTAGTAAATCACAGCTGCCCAGAGAGGACTTCAAGGAGATAGCTCTTGTAGTTTATTTAAAAAAAAATGTTATTTGTAAAAACTTCAAATATTTCCCAAAAAGTCAGTGGATGAGTGAAACATTCTGAAACTTGGGGTTGGGGGGCTTAAAGTGGTAAATGAGTGCTGCAAGTTTCATCTTGATAGCTCTACAAATGAAGGAATGAAGAACCTAGGAAGTGTCCCCATTGGCGCAAATGGGTGAATAACAACACAGAAAGCTAACATTTTTGGGAACTTTGTAATAGAGATGATACGGTCCACTTATGAATTTTTCAAAATGCTTTAGAAACAAAACATTTTGTAATTTTGTAAATACAAACGAAGTGGATTTCTGGTGTCAAGAACACCTCTACTATCTGAACATATTGTACAGGAATTGAAAAAATGTGTTGATAATGTGCGTTGTTTTGCTAAAAATGTAACTTAACAAAGTGATTTGATTCATGTTGATAGATTTGTTCTGTGTATATTTTACTCCGGGCCAACAATAGACTGCTACCTATAGCTCATTTTCTTTTCTTTTTTTGGGGAGGGGGGGGGAGGGGATTTGGTACTTTTTGGAAGCAGACTTCACAAATGTGTGGGAATAGGAACAGGCCTATCTATTTAAACTGCATTATATGAATCTACACTGACAATATAATGTGGTATGAAACTGCATTATATGGCAGTGTAGATGGGGTCTCAGGTGCAACTGTAGTTGGGGTTAAGAGAAACAAATAGAAATTGAAGGAATATTTGAAAATGTTCACACAATTGTCAAAATATGTTTTTAGGTTTTGAGAAATATTAATGCGAAGAATCATGCACTGCCGGGCATCGTCACAATCCAGGATTTATCTCACTTTCTACTATTGCAGAGAATGAAACACTGGAAAATTATTCATACATAGAACTCATTTATGCTGTGTTCACATTCCTTCTTAGGATGCTAACAGTATTTCTGAATGTTCAGTTGACAGTTCACATTACTGTAATGCTAAAAATTGTGGGACTGAAACAAAATATGGTTTGTGTGTACAGAATTCTTATTTGGAAAAAATGTTCTTCTTTTGCCTTCCTCCATTCACCACTCCACATAGCTGTCTCTTGGCATCACCTACTTCAAATGACTGATATGGGAACAAGCTATTATAATTCTATACAGGGCTGTAGCCAGAGTGGGGAAGGGGTTAAAAGTTCAACCCCACCCTGAAATGTGTCAGCAACCTGGTTTACAAATACATTGGTTAACCAGTTAACATTCATGAGTAAACCAAGTTTCCGGGGGGGGGGGGGGGGGGGGTTGAACAGTTGGGGGGGGGGGTTGAACTCTTAACTCGGCCCTGATCCTATACATATATTGTCTTAACATTTCTTGGAGGATTTAGCATGATAAATAAATGGAAGCCTTAATATATTCTGACTTCATATGAAAAAGGAGCAACTCTTTACATATCTGTGGACAGAAAGTGACAGAAACAACAAGGGCTTTGGGAAGAACATTTTATTGCTAAGCATATCCTTGAACAAAAAGGCAATTATGAAAAGAAAAGAACAGGAGAAAAGAGAGGGAATGGAGGGAAGGGGAAATAAAGCAATAACAGCACAGTAATGTTAAAGAAAATCTTCAAGGTTTTCTCAATAAAAACAGTAGGGATATGGTAAAAGCCCACATACAGAAATGCACATGTTCCCAAAAATTGTCCAATAGAAACAGACACTGAAAAAAAGGAACAAAAAGATGGGTTTTCTCAAATTAAAAAAAAAGAAAGGAAAATAAAAAGAAAAAAAAGCAGAAAATTATTTCACAAGACTCCAAGACTTCAAGAACAGCAGCAATCTTTTACAGACATCAAGGTATAATCAGCTCCGTATATGTTCGGCCAGTCAGGTTGTCTAAAATCGTGCTTTCAATACCTTTGAAAACCTGTCTTTTCCCTCCCCTTCGATTGTAGTGTAAAAATATAATTAAAAATGGTAATTAAAAAAACAAACCTCACACACACTGAAAAGATTTTGTTAGCCAGGAAAGCCTCTTCTCAAACCATATGAGAAGGCTGCCTTTTTTATTTTGTTCTCATGTGCGTGTGTGCATTGGATAACACTTCTTCATAGTCAAAGATTCATGCGACTTATAAACACCAGCAAGAGTAGATTTCTAAACCTAAACAGCTGATTAGATTTCATCTGTACACAGAAAAATTGTACATTTCTAATATGCCAGAGTCCTCTTAAAATTTTTGCGTGTTTTCCCCATCTCTCTCCTTTATTCTCTCTGTCTCTCTCTTTTGCTTTACTTTTTTTGCACATGATATATTTGTGGCCAAAAACACCCAGTTGGTTATTTTCTCCTGTACAGTAAATTGCTCTCTTTCAAAATAATGGAAGAATTTTTTTCTTTTAAAAAAACTAAACAAAGAAAATTAAGTACATTGAATATAAATAACAGCCCAATGAAACCTCATAGCATTATGTACATCGGGGTACCCAACTAGAAATTACACCATCCAGAAAAAAAATTGTAGTAAAATATGTAAACAAAATCTTATTTTTTCTCTTAAAATCTTTTTGACACAGGTAACTGTGACAAAGTTAAAATGCACACTCTTTTCACATTTTTAAAGTTTAGCTTTTTGTTGTTTTGTAAAAACATTTTTCTTTACAACATTCTCATTTCATATTAAGACTTTGACAGCATCTGTTTCAGTCGTCCCATCAAACATACCATGATAAATATATCTGTGTATATATATATATTTATTTATATATATTATACTATTAATAAGCTTCTGTAATTTTTTATTTCTGTGTGTTTTAAATTTATCTTCTTTCATATAAAAGAGAAGGGAAAGGGGGAATTGGGCAAATGGAAGGACAGCGAATCAGAAAAGTCAATCTACAAAATTAAAATTGTTACATATGAAACACACTGTCATGATTTGTAAAAACAACAACCCACCCCTAATCCGTACTCCGCTGTGATACAGTTTTGGCTTGTGTGACATTTTGTGATTCTTGCCACAAGTTAAATTCAGTATAATCCTTCTAAAAGTTGAATTCAATTTATTATTATGGTTGATTCATGCATTGCCAGCAGATTAGGAGCCAGAATCAAGAGAATGTCTCCTTAGTTTTGCTTTATATATTCAATTCAAAATGGCTACATTTTTTTTGCTTGTATTTGTTTGTTTTCTAAATTCTCTCTCCTTTCCTCTACAGTTTAGCTGTGGTAAGATATAGTAAGTGGTAAGCAAATTGTAGCCAGTCACCCCTCGTCAGTGAAGATAACCCTGTTTGTTCTTCCTATGACTTTATTTTACAACATTGGGGCCAGATCTGGGGTGTGCGTGTGCTAGTATCCAATTTTCCATGACTCTCATTCTCAGCATCATCACCAACATTGCCACCCCATCACATTTGTTTTTTTTTTTACGGTAACAACTTACTGCAGACAACAGATTCAAGAGACAACACAATCTGATATGTAGAGCAAACACCATGATAGAACTTGAGTTCATATATGGCAATAGTCTTACTTTATTACAAAATTTTTCCCCAAGGTTTTTCTCAACTTATGTCCTGGCTCATTCTCCCAAAAACTCTCACAGAAAATGAAAAAAACTCAGACAATAAACATAATGAAAACCCCAAACCATTAATTATTTTCTTTTTCTCCTCACATCTTGGAAAATGATACATAGGCTAGGCATGGCCAGATCAGTTGTTCTGTTTTGTTTATAACATTTGCATTTTTCTTTTTCTTATTTTTTTCTTATTTTTTTAAAATAATTAAACTGAAAAAAATTAGCATACAGTCAAAGATCATGAACATCTTTAAAGACTCACTTGGAGATACGAAACAAGTAAGCCATGAAGTCTTCTGCCCTTGCAGAAAAGTTCAGCTGAGGAGGAGGTCTGAAGGCTTTGAAGTCCACCAACATGGTAAATGCTGCATAGGCCTTCTTCAGAATGCTAAGTGTGCTTTATAATACAGTAGGGCAGAGTTTGAGGACTCCAAGCAATGACTGAAAACTGAGCAGTCAGCGGCTGAAAGGTTTATTCTCAATATTTGATTTAAACCACAAACTGTAGCTCCCAATCTTGTTAGCTGTAACAGTTTCGATTCAGTTATAGCTCATTAAGTATTTATATATTTATATATATAAATAAGTATTTATTTAATTTTTTTACACATAATATTCTTTGTCCTTGTTTTTCTGTTTCTTGTGGCCGCTCTTTGTGCTCTGTTGCTTCTCCTTCATGAGCGTGCCATTGCTCTGGGCTGAGTTGCTGATGTAGTTCCGTGTCTCATCCACCTGATAGGACCCCTCGTCCCTGTTCCTGTACTTGTACATGGCGTACAGGAGGATCAGGATGCAGAGGGCAGCAGCAGCCACAATGCCGACGACCATCCCCGTTGTGCTGCTCGACTCACGGACCACCTCTGAGGCCCCCGGAACCCGTCTGATTCCTGGCTCCGTGGGGTTTGCTGTGGGCACATTACGGAACATGGGGGAAGTTATTAGCGGGCTCTTCAGTTTTGTGCTGTCTAGCTCATAGGCAGTGGGTAACGGAAGCAAGACTATGTCAGGCTGGGGTTTGAGGTCACGGTTATTTATGTTGCCGGCTGGCAATTTGGGCACCATCCCAGTCGAGGACGAAGCTGTGGAGCGGATCAGCTCAGGGGACAAAGCTGTGGTAGTAGTCCTACCAGTTTCGGAGACTTTGTTAGGTCTAAAGTCCTTGGCTTCCCACTTGGGTGCGTGTGCTTTGTAGCCACCTTCGAAGATTGAAGTGGAAAGACTTTTATCTGTTACCAAGGAGAAGGTGGTGTAAAAATCTTCATCATCAGTAGGGGGTAGGTTAGAGTCAAAGGTTTCCCCTGAGCCATACCCAGATATCACCAAGCCATCATCATCACAACCATCGCTGCCTTGGTCCGACAAGCAAGGTAACCCCGCCTCAGAGGTCATGGACAGGGAATCTTTGGTGGTCTCAATAATGGTGAGGAGGGGGCGGAAGGTAGTGGGGAGTGTAATGAAAGGTGCACGAGTAGCAATAGAAGGGATATCTAAAGGGTCTTCTACAAGAAGAGGGATAACTAATTCACCTCCTGGACAGAAAAGAAAAAAGAAAATATTAGTATATCTTGAATACAGTACATTGTCGGATGTTCAATTTGCCCATCTGAAAGGGCATGTATGTATGTATGTATGTGTGTTTTGGGGGGAGCTTAAAATAGCTGATTTCACATCCTTCTCTATTCTTATAAGCATAACTTTTCTAGAGCTCTCTGCAGTCTTCTTACCCAGGCCACTTAGACATAAAAGAAACCAGATTTATGATTTTTAAGACTGGGCAAAAGCAAAATCTCTGTGATTTGGGTTTTGAAGATACTCTCAAAGTGACTTCAAACAGATTTCTAGTAGGTTTACATTTTTCTTAATATTTGATGTATTTCCTTCAAACTAGCCCTTTATTATATTGACTGTCTACACTGAAACCTGATTTGGTGAAAAATAGCATTGTCATTTCTGGTGTGTTCTTTCACATATATGTAGTATTTCGTTTCTTCATATGAGGCAAAGCAGGACAGCTTGGTTAATATGCAAGTCTGTTCACAGCTGTTCAGATGAATTTCACACTGAAGTCTTGTAGGAAGCAATGGGAGCCATAAGTAATAGAATATTATCTATAAAAGTTTCTAAAGCAGGCTTCCTCTATTACTTCTTTCAGAGCCTGCCAGTGTTACCCTTTTAGACTATAACTCTCAAATTCCTCCAGGCAGAATGGCCAGTGAGTTTCATAGGTAAGTGACACTGCAAGTCACTGCAAGTCTGAGATGATCTATTCCATTACTTCAACAATCTAGTAGTCATTATGACTAACTTCAATTGCATTGGTGTGCAATAGGAGGGAGGAATGAGTGACTATCCATAATCTTTGTAAATATAGTATTCACTGTCACCTATCAGTTTACTATGCTAGCTGTGGCTCATTGGAGTCATGAGTCTGGGAGTTTTTAATTTCTTATCTAAAGCATCTGAAGGGCCTTTGTTATTAAACTCTCCTATGCTTATGAAGGCATTTGATGTAGAGCTTATTTCTTGTCTTCCCAAGACAACTGTCTTGTGTGTGTTTGTTAAATTACTTTTTTACTATTTTTCCATTATCCATTTGTACATGACTTCTCCTAAACACAAGGAAACAGCAACATTCTGTTCTAAAAAACAAGATTTCTACTATGAGAGTTTATTTAATTTCTGTTAAATATATTATCACAATTGTATTTTTTATTTTCCTTTATAAGATGGCAGATTTGTGACTGGGCTATTTTGAGTAAGAATTATTGTGGAAACATCGATATATATTGAAAAGGAAGTGAAGGAGAAGAGGAGGACGTTCTGGATGGACTGTTTCCTGATGGATATCCATTTTTAAGACTGAAGACAAGAGTTTTTGATAAAAGCTAACCAAGATTAATGAACTAACTGAGATGGACAAATTGATTAGGTTGACATTGAGGTAATATTTATCTGTTTTAAGAGCGATTTGGAATTTACTGAATAAAATGTTCCAACAATTTTGTGTGTATGTGTGTGTGTGTGTGTGGGGGGGGGGGTCATTACTTTGGGATTTATGAGCTTGTCACATGTTAAAAAATGTAGAAGTATAACTACATAATATTTCTTAAATCCGCCCCTAGTCCCTTTGGGGAGATAAAGCAGAATATAAATAAAGATTATTATTATTATTATTATTATTATTATTATTATTATTATTATTATTATTATTAAAGGGAGTGGAAAAGTTAAAATTAGAAAACTAGCAGAAAGAGTGTGAGAGGTCTACTAGTCATTATGTTTGTTAGTTAGTACTTCTGTATGTATGTATATCCGTGTATGGGTGTTTTTTATGTTTATATGGGTTTTTTAGCTGCAGGGAGATGCGGATGATACATTCATTTTTTCTGTTATTATCATCATGTTTGTTGCCATGTGTTGATTAGTAAGATTTTTTTAAAAGATGTGTAACTTTATGATATGTTTGTTTACTTTAGCATAGTTGTATAAGTCACTTCGGAGAGATAGGGTAGAATATAAAGTTATTTATTTATTTTATTTTATTATTAAGATTTTTCATTTCTATCATGTAAACAATGTCTAGAATAAACCAGAAAGTCTGCTGCAGTTGTTTAGAGTGAGTCTCATGCTGCGCTTAAATCTGAGATCAAAAAACGTGGAGAACTTGTAATAACACTGCTATTACGAATGCATTTTAAAAGAATATCCAAAAAGAGCTGTTTGGAAGGTAAACAAAAACTCCACTGAGGGGAAACCACATCATTTCCATGTGAACATTAGCTTTCCATCTCATTATTCTCATTTCCTGTGTCCTGCTACAGTCTAGTGCTGTTCATGAATGGACATGGTTATGTGGCATCTCAACATTTCTGGGTTCAGTTCCAATCCAAGGTTCAGTTCCAATCCAAGGAAACTTTACCAGGCCAATTTAGATTTGATGCAGATGACCAAGACAGTTTTAAACAGTGTATTTAAAACAGTGTATTTTAATATTTTGATAAATGTTTTTAATGTTTATGCATATTCATATGAATTCTTGTCCCGGCATTGAATGTTTGCCGTATATATGCTGTGGTCTGCCCTGAGTCCCCTTCGGGTTGAGAAGGGCGGAATATAAATGTTTTAAATAAATAAATAAAATAAACATTGTGGCCATTATCCCATCTTTGAACTGGTTCCTGGGGTGTCTGTGTAGGCACTTCACAACACAATTGTTTTGGTTTTATCCACTTCTTAACTTGAATTTAATGTTAGTGTAGAATCTCCTTGACTTCTCAAAATCCATTGGGGGGGGGGAGAGAAAGAAAAGTATTTTGCATATAAGTAGGAAACATACTTGTGGTTTAGCACTAGCATAACTAACAAAGTTTTGTTTTGCACTACATTTCCTATGTTCTATTTTGAATTAAGAAAGAATTGAGATTCATACGTGCTAACAAGTGTAGTGTTCTATTGAATAGGCTTAATTCTTGTGCTGTTCATTATTCTCATGAATGGTTCCTAATTCAGAGAGTGAAAAGTAGTATTCAACAGAAAGCTATGAGAAGAAGAGGCAGCACATCACCATTTTAAATTGCTAAACCTGAGCTCTACTAATTGAGAATGGCTGGAATTGAATTCAGTGGAATGACTTTTTGCAAACTGTCTGAAAGTCTCAGAGGACTAAGTGACTCTTTCTGTCAGTTATGTAATGTTTGTGGTTTGATGGCTTGCAGCACAATGGAAAATACACATAATCCGGCATTGGTGCCCTTGAGGTGGGGTGTGTAGGTTTGTAAGAATAATGTGAAAGCAGCCTGGGTCTGACACAAGTGCATCTGAATTGTAATTTAGCCTGAGGCTTGCGTGACAAACCCATGCTGCATCTAGAGTAGGCAGAGGGCGTCTTTTCTCCAACAGCAGCAATGGAACATAGGGGGATACTTTCTATGGAGTCAGGTCACATCTAGCACACTAGCCAAGACAATCTTGTCCAGCATAGCAGAAAGATTCCAGCTCCTGGTCATCACTCTCAGGACTCATGATTTTACTGCAAAAGTTTTCTAAATATTGAATCCACGATTAATGGAAAATGTGTGTGAGGAGGAAAGAGGGGGGGGGGGCTGTAAAATTAGAAATGTGTCTGGCTATGTCCCATAACAAGATTCAAACCAATGGCATCTTCTGTTTACTGCTTAGAATTTTAAGAAGTACTATTTCCAAGGAATGCTTCTACACTGTAGAATTGATTCAGTTTGACACCATTTTAACTGCCATGGCTGAGTGCTAAGGAGTCATGGGAGTTGTAGTTTTATGGCGGGACTAGCACTATTTGGCAGATAAAGCTAAAGATCTTGTAAAACTACAATGGCTGGGGCTATAGTAATCTATAGTTTTTCAACAATTGTGTGAGTGAAACATACTAGAATAGTGTGAGAGCTGCAAATAAATAGAAGTAACCACACTATTCAGATTAGCATGTGAAGCTGGTCATAGATAATGCTTACCTGATAGGGAAAAGAAAAAATATCACCCAGTGTCTCTTTGTGTTTTTTTTAATTATATAGGGAGAAAATTCTTCTCTCATAATTTCCAACTTCTGGTGACCATAAGGGTTGTCTTTACAAAATGTGTACAGAGTGGGATGGGTGTGGCCTTCAACTGAGTGTGAGTTGTCCAAAGTCAGTAACTGGGATTCCATGGCAGAGCAGGTTCAAACCCTGGTCTCCAGGCTTCCAACACTCACACCGCTACACCACACTGGCCTCTACAGAGATGGTAGAACTAGAGATTCTCTGCTAGAAGAATCCCTTTACTTCGCTTTATGGCAATGTCCAAACTTGAAAAAAATATTTTTGGGGGACTTCCAAGACTGTAGGGACACTGGCTAGGGGATTCTGGGATTTGAAATACCTCCTCCACTCCCAGAAAATGTTTGCAAGCTCTGAGGACCTGCTATATAGCATTAGCCAGTTCTCTGAATCTGGAAAGTTAGCATTTGCCAAACTGGACCATAAAATGAAAGTTCCTCAATTTATCTCCTTAAGGGTGTTTTACTTGAACTCAATGGAGATGGTTTCCTGTCTCTTTTCCCTGTCTCTTCTTTACTTCCAGATACCAAATAATTCTTCTGGAGAACAAACTGAGAATTCAGCATATATTTTAAGATCTCATAGACCCAAATAAGACCTAAATGAGAAGTGTTGTTCTAACCAGAACCTTAAGTTTAACCTCTTCCCCTCTCCCTGCCTCCTTTGTACTTCCAGCAGAAGGTCACCTATTTATTGAAGTGATTTGTGCTGACAACAGAATGCTTCAGGATGAAACAGAAAGGAGCAGTTAAAATGACTTCTTCTGCTGCATTAGTGATGCCAGATCAGCTTCTATTTGGTCAGATAAATATGCAACAGATATAATGAGCACTCCATTCTGAGAGGATTGAGGTCTGCTTGGTGAAAAACGATAGTCCAAGAACTCACAAATAGCCAAGATTAGCTGCATGCTTTTTTTCTTGATCTTTTTTAAAGAATAAGTAGTCGATATATCTTTA